GAAGGAAGATAGAGAATCATCTCCTGATGTGCAGGCTCTCTTCCCTCCCTGTGTCCCCTTTCAAAATAAATCAAGGCTAACAGAACTGTAAAAATGTAGCTATTTGAATAGCTGCAAATACTGCTTTAAAGAAATAAAAATCAGGTTTTTTCAAGAGGTTTAGCAGCTGAGTTTACATTATTGCATCAGAATTGACCCTTCCTGAGTAATTTCATACTGCATGCAAACCAAATGAATTCTTTAGGACTGGTTTATAATGTCCGCATTGAGTTTTTAAAAGAATACTATTTAAGAAACCTCTGACAAGTAAAGTAGCTTACGGTAATCAATTAGAATATGAGAATAAAACTAATTCAGTAAAACTGCTAACACTGATCTGGCAAACCACTGGTAGCCATCTGTCTAATCCTTCTTGTGTTCATAAGTTGCATTTTAAAAAACAATTATTAATAGTGCTCATTAGCTGCCAAGTAAAAGAGCATGCTACAAGCTTCTGCTCAGAGATTAGCTAGTATAATAAATACTACTCACTTTTTCAAGTTTGAGCTAGAACCTGAGCATGATCTCATGGTCAGGACAAGTTTTTCTATTGGGGTCCCCAGGAATAGGGGAGACTATAAGAGATGGGCCCAAGGACAGGTGCAACACCCTGCAGATGCCAACCGTCCTCCTACAGCCCTTCAGCACCGATGGCTCCTCAACCTCCCCACTAGACGATCTGTTCCAGCGCTGCACTATCCTTACTGTTAGGAAGGTTTTTTAATGTCTGAAGTGAATTTTCCTTGGTGCAATTTAAGTCCATTACTTCTAGTTGTGTTAATGCACATGGAATACGGTTTGCTCCTTTCTTCTATGCAGCAGCTTTTCATGTATTTGAAGACTGTTGTTACAACCCCACTCAGTCTGCTCTTCTTAACGCTAAACAATTTGTCCAACATGTATAAGGCCTGATTTTTAAAAGTGTTGAGCTCCTGCTGTTCCCATTGCTTTTATTCAGGTGATTGAGAGTGGAAGAACTTCAGTATGTCTGATGATCAAGCCGTATTGTCTGATGCCCTTTAAATACTCATAGGTATGAAGGCCACGAACACTGTTTATAGCTGTATATGTGTATTCTTGTCTTCACAATAAAAGCGTATTTACAGGACCTGTGGCTAGTCCTCTGCCTGCATCCACAGGGCAAGAGCAATGTCACAAAAAGAACAGATTTTAGTGGAAATTTCACTGCCTTATATGCCAAGCTTTGCTAAATCATTTGGACTAAAATGTTTTCTGGTTTTCATGAAAAACATATCTTGGCGAATGTTTTATTCATTTGTTTAAATGATTTATATGGCTACTGTCAAAACAATGTTCATGATTATTTTTCAACTATTTGCTGTTGTTGGAAGATATATACTTAAGAAGAGTGAATTCAAATCCTTTTCCATCCCAAAACAGAGGAGAGTGAGATTTCTTCCCATAATGGGCTTCTCATCAGGAGAAATGGTGACTTTTGTGCTTAGGGTACTGGAGCAGAGTTCCACTTGGCGTCACTTGGAAGGATGTTTTTATAGTGAATACGCTACAAAATATGATGCTATTGTCTTGCGGTAGTGTTCCAGGGTGGCTAGAAATAAATCCCACTGTACCTGCTCTTTGTCTCTCAATTTCCATTGTAAATACAGCTTCCTTTGTGTCCATGTAGGCCCTCATGAAATCACTCCTTCAAGTCATCAGAGGCTTGTGGTACAATTGTAATTCAAGCAATAATAGCTCCTTGCATTGGTTCTCATAAATGTAAGGTTATGTATTCTGCCTTTCTGGAGAAAAGAGGTTTTGAAACGTCTTGTTTTCTCCTCTTAGACACTGTCTCATAGCCTTGAAAAATAATGTCCTCAGACAAATACAGAGAACATTTACGATTATAAAGTAAAAATGGCCACTCTAATTTTGGGCTACCTGCCATTGCTTCTTTTTGAGAGAAAAAAAAAATCATAGAAGCAGAAGAGAGGGAGAGAAAAAAAGGAAACTTTAAAGGCATTTCTCTGAGAAACTATGGCCTTTTTGTATCCAGCCATGTCCTTTATTCTTATTCATAAGATTTCATCAAACTGCTGGAAAGAAGACTAATTGGGATGGACATTAAAATATATGGGAACTATAAAGTGTGAATACACAACTGTCCTAATATTTTTCTGAAATGGCAAAGAAAAATAACAGTGAATTTCGCCATTGACAATAAAGCTGAAGTAGTGTCCTATGGTGCATACGTGGTAGTAGGCCATAACATGCAAAAGATGGAAATGCACAATCATATCAGTAGTTTTATACCTAGCCAGATTATTTCTCTGTAAACACCTACATTTAATTATCCTGTTATCTATATTCCCCTCCTCCATAGACTCGATAATTCATCTGAGCTACATGCGTACTACAGCTCTTTTCTTACATCACTCACTCAAAACCCTGCCCTCCTCCTCCTTCCAGACACACACTAAATCATCCATTGCTCAACCAATGGATTGAAATATTAAATTATAATCTTTATTGTCTGTATTGATTGAAGGATATCCAGTTATTAGGGCCTTCCTGAGTTTGGTTGACATGAACCCATCCATTGCTGCCGTAAGAGTGCTGTAAATTATACAGGTCATCCCATCTCTCCGCCACACAAAGCAAATGCACCAACAAGGTCTTTGGGGACAGTTGGGCAACAATGACAACAAAAGCTTAAGATGGCTAAATGGTCCCTTAAGGCAAAAGGGAAAATAATTTGATAAATTTAAAATCCACATTGTAAATCTGGTCTATTGCATGCACCAAATGGTTTGGCATGAAAGATCGGTCATAGAATATTCCTTTACCTAATAATAGTACAGTATAAAGCTACATGGTTTTGCTTTTTGATTGGTGGCAGGAGTCTACATAAGCAACCTCAGCAAGAAAGCACATGTCTTCATGGCTTGGTTAATGGATTAACTCTCTACAAGAAGTAAAAATATTTTCTTAGTGAAGAAGCTTGAAGTTTGGGTACGATATCCGGTGTCTTGAGGGTTAGTTCTGAAGGTCTGACAGCTGACAGCAGTCAGGCACAGACGGAGCACATTTCAGCTCACTGCATTTCAGTACCCAGACACAACAGTCATTGCTGATGCTGAAGCCAAGGGCTACCCTGATCCTACGTCTACCATCTGAAGCGTTCCCTTTACCAAATGTAGCCTTTGGATTTAGTCCCAAACGCCTATGCTTTTTTCACTTTAATCAAAGAAACTGGTTGAGAAAGTCAGGAGCGAATAACAGCCTTTATCCTGATCACAACCCAACAGTCTCACACGCACTGAGATGATAGTGTCGTACAGAGATACCACATTTCTCGGTGAGCAACGCCTTAGCAAAAAGTGTCAAAGTATTCACTTAGGAAAATCTTTTGGCTACAGCGTTCATAAATAGCTTCATTCTTTTGGTTTGTGACATCACTACAATCCCTTAATGAAACTGCAATTCAAGGAGGCTAATTTGTACTCTAATTACATATTAGTCTGGGCTGAAAGGTTTCTGGATGGAAAAAGGTTTTCTTCAGGCAATCTTTTAGTCTGCTTATTGTATTTACTTAACAAAGAGCAGTCAGCTTTTACTGTGATTTCTCATAACAGAGTTGAGCTGTAGTGTTACCTAGCTAAGGGCAAACATCTGCAGTCATTTTTGATGGATTCTGATAACGGTCTTTAACAAGAACAAGGACTATTTGCAAATGTAGGAAGAATCAGGCCGAAAAAGCTCTTCAGTTGGAATGCTTTCCAGACCAGTGGTGGATTAGTAGCCAGGTAGTTTAAGGGAATTCAGAAAAATACTTTCTCACCAATAAAGTCCCCATGGAAATAATTTTTCCTGTGTCACTTGAAAGACGACATTCTTGGTTTGGTTGTGATGCTTCTGCCACAGGATGAAAGCCCAGCATTGTTCACAATGTGCAGGATTCAGAGTATTTCCATCTAACTAAGGCATCTAAGTGGAGAAATACTTTAGGAAAGCAACTAAGTCCTTCAAAGCTATGAATCACCTTTGTAAGATTTATTTCTGTTTCTTCTGCTACCTTAAGTAGATACTCTGTTAATGTCAGTACCCAGCAAAGTACCCATAGTTTGTCAGGAGTAATTCAGCCTAAACAAACTAAACGAGAAACTAAATAAACTAGTTAACAAACTAGATAAAGCAATATATCCCTGTTTCCAGTGTTTGTGTTAACAGCAACTTTTCCCTGTAGATAAATCCTGAGCCAAATTTTGAGCTGGTGTAAGCAGTACTAGTTCTCATTTTGCTGAATCTGTCCTGGGATCAAATGCAGAGGCTGATCATGGGTGTCTGTGCCATCTACTATCTGCAGGATAAACAGAAACTGCGGGTAGAAGGAACTGCACTTCGTACGAATGTGAATAAGAAGGATTTCAAGTAGGATTCATATTGTTTGGATAATATCTTCCCATGCACACCATAAATGCACACCATTTCCCAAAAATCCAATCAACAGTTTCTAGGATTAGAAGACATTGTAGTCTCTTGTGCCATCAACACTTGAGCTTTCTCTGAGACTTCTGGTTCAGCCTCTGTCAGGGAGAGGAAACAAGAGGAGAGGAGCTGATGGTCTCATCTATGAGAGCAGTTCTCACGTCCCTCCTTCCCGGGCTGACGGCCTCCCCCATTCCCACCTGGACCAGCAATAGCCTCCCACATTCCCAGCTCTGCGGTGCTCAGGCAGCATTGCTGGGAAGCACGGGCAAGGAGCACTACACGGGGGCAGGAACCAGGAGGGACCTGCATTTGGTATTTGTATGTGCCAGCTGAAATAACTGTGTTGCAGTTCTGTGAACTTTGGTGGGGCTATAGAGTCAGGGGAAAAAAAAAAAGGAAATGGACTTGCTGAGATGTTTTCACCTGAAAAAGAAGTATGGAGTAGATCAGAATGTACTGACAAAATACTGATTTTCTATGTCTCTTTTTTACTCTTTTCTTCTAGAAAAAGTAAGCATACTGTCAACCTTCATAGCACCCTTCAAGTACCTGAGTCCTGGCGCAACCACCATGGAGGATGAAGACAATTTAAGTAAGCAGTCTGTTTTCTTTATATGCAGATGAATAATAACATTTAAAGAGAAAAGCTCTACAGCGTAGGGGCAGTTGTGGAAAGGAGGTGGATTTGCAAATATCGGCAGGCCATAAGCCCAGTCCTCATGTAAGATGCAAAATTCCCTGATGCCGAGTGCAAGCGCATTCTTCAGTCTCCAGCAAAGGACAGGTTAATCTCAGCTCATATCCCCACTTCACCCTGTGCAGATCCTGTCACATGGGTGCTGTAAATGGTGTGCCACAAATGCAAAGGAAAGACTTTTTACAAAAGGAATATGTATACTCTCAAGTTTGTGGTACTATGGAGCAACTTTTCCTTTCCTGGTTATGTTACCTTACTTTCCTCACTTGCTTTTCTGACAGTCCCTAAAAGACAGGCAATTTTGGTGTAATGTCTTCTCCCCAGTTTATATTTCCTTGATTACCTAAAGGACTTTTGCAAAAGGAAAGATTGTAGGAACAAGCCCTCTACTTGAAAAACTGTTTTCTCTTTTAATTCTGCGCTATGACTGGAGGGAGAAAAAAATAAAAGAAAAAAAAAAGGAAAAAAATCAAATCGAATTGTGAAAGGAGATTATTAACCTGGCTTAAATGAACTAGTTGTAACCCAAAAATTACCTACTGGATTCCCCTGGGCCCTTGCACCTGAACAAAGTCACTGATACTCCCTGTACCCATGACTCAGAGCTGGAGGAAAGCGCTGCTGGGATTGAAGGAGTTGTGAAGTCTTCAAAACACCAAGAAGCCTGGGAATGTGCAGTTAGGGCTGAATAACCCTCAGCAAGCCCTCCCGTTTATCACTTAGAAGCAATTATTGTGTTTTATCCAGCCCTGCTTATTGTAACACATCTTGAATCATTAAAAAAAGGGAGGGAAGCTTTCCAAACCAAATGAGCAACTCTTTGAATTTTAGTATCACCTACCAGATGGGTTTCTTTTCCAGCCAGACACACAGTGACATGTTGCCCTATTAGAGCCAGTGGGTGGGAGGAATGGGCTTTTTTTGCCTGTTGTTCCTAATTTGCTTTAGTTTGATCATGGTGCGGCAGCAAGGGGAATAGCTGTTGAAGGACTGAAGGAGCACAGCTGCTGGGTAGCACGTGGACACCACTCCGTTCTGCTGCACAGGGACCGGCAGGTTTTTACATATCTTTCTTAGCAAAGGCAAAAAAAAAAAAAAAATTCTGAAAATCCTTCAAAATCAGTCCCAGAGAGGCTACATTTTCAGGAAGAGATATGAGAAGTACACACAGGAAACATGTTATGCACATGAGGAGCTTGTGCAGGCACCTCCTGTGTAATGTTTCCCAAATGTGCTACTTTTAGTTATTTTTAGGTAATGTAGGAAGTTTGTACAGGCCAAACGCTGTAACACCATTTTCTTATTGCTGCTATAATGCAAAGACTGCTTTGTGCCTGCGCTGGCTTTAAAATAGCTCACATGGACAGGGTAAGCTGTGTTTTCTGAACGAGAAATAGCAAATTTCACTGTTTTCAGGGACATCCTGCCTAGTTCCCTCTTGGGTCAAACATACACTCCAGTGATAAAGCTAACAATTTTTTTTCTTAACACATACAACACATTTTTAGGTGTTACTATGAGAATCTTCAAAAAAAAAAAATAATTAATTTAAAATCAATCAGCCATATTTCAGTGTTCACTTCTCGTATAGTGGTATAAGTTCCCACTAATTTCTACAGCACATCTGTACCTGTGTAGTAATTTGACATTTGACATTTTAAAGAGCTTCAGTGATTTGCTCTGAACAAGTAGAAGAACCTTCTTCTGTGTAACAATTTAACAGCAGCGTAGGACAGTGCTAGCAAGGCAGAGAAGTGTTTCGATTATCTGCGTCGTTTTCTGCTCACTGAGCATCCTGTGAGAGTGCCCCTTCCCAGACTGTGCTATATCAATAGGCAGAGTCCCACTAGCTGAAACGGATCCAAATCCTGTTTCACATTCCGTTATGCCTTCTTTGCAAAGGGACTGCGGTTTTACCCCAGCCAGCAGCTCAACCCTACACAGCTGCTTGCTCACTCCCCCCAGCAGGGTGGGGGAGAGAACTGGAAGCATAAAAATGAGAAAACTCATGGGTTGAGATAAAAATAGTTTAATAATTGAAATAAAATTATTATTATTATTATTATTATTAAAAAGGAAAATAACAGAGAGATAGATAAAACCCAAGAAAGACAAGTGATGCAAACCAAAACAGTTGCTTACCACTGGTAGCAGAGGATAGCTGCGATCCATGCCAGGTTAACTATACATGCATTTTCAGCTGGTGATTATTAGCATATAGACACTATTATTGTGGTTTATGATCCATGAACTAATACTAGAAAAATGTATCAAAGGCACTATGCACCTTTTGAATGGCATTTTGGGTAAACTAATCATCAGTCTCTGATGAAGGCCTTATCTTGAATATGTGAGAAAAGGACCACCTCATTCATTTCCACAAGTTGATTGTACCTAAGAATGTAAGAAATGTCACACAGGATTAGAAATGAGAAGTTTAGCTCTGTACGTGGTCTTCAACATTTGCTGTTAGTGATGCACTGAGAAAAAGGACAGTTAAATGGCGATCTTCCCCTCGCAAGAAATTTACTCAGCTGGAGTTTGCACCTGAATCATCATATTTCTTAGACATCAACAGACCTGTCTAGTCCTCTCCAGAGCCCAGTGATACTTCTGATCTCAACAGCCAGGAACAGGGAGTTCAGTGATTTAGTGTGTTGTCAAAAAGTGCACCCTTTTATTGCTTCAAGCCTGTCGTCTCTAGTGGTTCGATTGCATGAAACAGTGAATAATCATTCCCTGTTCACCGCCTGTCTGCCTTTCATGGTGTTGCAGATCTCTGCCTGTCCTTGATCTTTAATCGTTCCACCCACACTATGCCATGACATCAAGGCAGACTATCACCAGACACAGGTACTTGCAAATCTAGGGCGTTCCTCTAGCAGGAGCGTATGATTCCTGTGGATCTCCTTGTGCAACGCTGCCGTATGCACAGACTTGGTTCAGTGTCCTTCTGTGGGAATATACCTCTCCCCAGTGTCTGCAGAGGGAGCTGACAGTGGTGGTCCCCAAGATACGGATTTCAGCCACTGCAACAGTCTTGTAGGATGAATCCGAGACCCAGATTCAGTGTACTGAAGCATGTTCAGTTATGAGCATGTTGGTCAAAGTCCCCCTCAGGGAGCATGAGGCCCCAGAGCTTTTGATTGCACGGTGTGATACACAGCAGGGACCCTGCCTCTAAGAGGACAACGAATATCCCCTTCCACCAGTCAGAGCCCCAGACAATCTCCCACAGAATCAAAACCCCTGGTTTTGTTTGAAAACTGTGTCTATTGCCATCGTTTGGATTTCTCCCGTGCCTAAGGCTAAGCTACAGTCTGGTCCCAATTCAGGGCAGCATGTACTTAAATCTGTTTCAGCTGCGAGCTGCCCATGTTTTTTGCTGCATGGACTCACTTGCTAACTCAGACAGAGAACATCAGAGTCTGAGTATCATCTAAGTCAGGTCATTAGGTCATTTGAATAATTTCCCTAATTGGTAAGAGCTGTAATAGATGTGCATGGACTTCACAGGTATTTTGGGTAATAAGGTGGGCAAAGTACAGTGTCTTCATTCTGGAAGAGCTAAAGGCAATTGCAATCACCTTTCACAAATTTTCTGTCATCAGTTTAAGCAAAGTCCTCAACTTTTTTGCACTGGTAATGCTTCCCATCGCAACGGGGCGTTACACACCAATAAAGTCTAATGGTATTGTTTCAAACAGCCTGAACCCTGTGAGCTGGCAAGGGGGATTCAGCAGCAACAGAGATCATGGCGGATTCCCCTTAAGTAGACTTCTTTCATGAAGGTTTAACAATACATGTGTGTGTTTTCATGTAAGAAAGGAAGGAGTGATTTCTGTTGTTAGCTACAAGTTCATTTTTCTGAAGTCAAGAACACAAACCTAAAAATCCCCAGCAGAACTGTTCCCAATCCCCCATTGTGGACTGATTAAGTGAATGCAAATGCCATCTTGCTTGCGAAGGAACCTGCCCTACATTGCATTTGATGCAGTAGCTGATCTTGGACAGAGGTACCATGGTTCTGGCTCCAGCTCCTGGGTTCATCCCTATTGCTTCTGATTTTAGATTTTTCACTTTCAAGTATGCCAGGAATTATGGAGGTCAGTCCTTCTAACCTCCGCAGTCGATGTGATGCAGATGGACAGAGAAAACGTATTCAAAATAAGCAGGTCAAGCAGGAGTTAGATATCAAAATGCAGAAAAATAAAAATTAAGTCCTCTCTGTATTGTTGAAAATGCATTAGTAGCAATCTGGTGTTGCCTAAACATTTCTGAAGATAATAACTTCCTGTGCCGGAGCTTTCAGTTGAATCAGAAGTTTGCTATACTATGGAGATTGCAAATTCTTTCTTTCAATATCATAGCTTCTCAATAATGTATTGCCCCTTGTAATTGAATAGTAAAGATGCCAGCCAAAATGAAGATGCCACCTCCCATTTCCCATCCTCCCTGGAAGTTGGCTTGGCAGCAGAATAACCTTCAATAGGAACAATATTATCTCTTCAAATGTAGCGTGGAGTATCGGATGGCTAGTTCTGCAGAGCCCTTATGACCCAGAAACACAGGCAGTGTCATTATTAGTGATGCATTATAGTTCTGAAAAGCTCTTGATGATGCAGACTCTCTAGGTTAACTCTACTGTGTATAATGACCAAAAGGAGAAAAACATGAAAGAGCAGACAGAAGATTGAGGAACAGTGCATAAATAAATATATTTCACTAACTGCTTTCCTCTCTCCCATTCAATTACTGAAGCAAACACAAGATTGCAATGTCTCTTCTTGCTTGTGAAACTGCAGAAATCAAGAAATAAAGTTGCCTGAGGAGGTATTACAGTGCAGAGGTGTAGGGCTTTTTTAGAAATCTTACACAATAAATTAGAAACTATTGCCAAAAAATTGTAATATTTTTATTCCTCCTTTCTTTTTAACTCCATCTCCATACAATTTTATTATTCTTCAACCTTTCATCATAAGAGAACTGTATTTTATTATCTTCTTTTCTTTTTTTTTTTTTTTTTCCCCAAATGTAGAGAATGTGTTTTAGGAACTCAAGAGCAAAGACATTATGAGAGATAACAGGACTGAAATGATCCACAGTTTTGCATTTTCCCAGTGTGCATCCTCTGACTTACTCCTTTCCTTTTAGTGCTCTTCATTTCTAAAATTGCTTATGATTGTTCTATTACAGCTGCTTACAGTATTTATCTTACGTAGTTTGGTGTCATTTGCCTGCTTTGTCTGATTTTCACAATAGAAGTACATGTGCCACCATTAGAGAGGTAATCTTATGTCTGCTACACAGAGGTCTCATAAAAGACACATTTCAAAGACCTCCTATTTCAAAGATACCTGAAAGTATAAAGTAATTTCGCATTGCCCGGCTGCTGCCAGGCATCACACGAGTCCATCAGGCTCACAGACTTTCTGAGGCACTCGCTGAATTTAGGCTGCCACTGATTTACATGACATGATGACTTTTGGCCTGCTGCAGCTCTCACTGAGGTCTCTGAGGAAATGAGTTGTTTCCTGGTGTTCCAGGATCAGGTCCTCTAGAAATCAGGTTGCCTGTAAGGATACTTGCATGGATTTTATTCAGTGTGACTAGGCTAAAGCATACCATAAAGGCAGACGTGTCGCCATCATGCACGCCCAGCATTGTGTATCCTTTCTGACTGATCTCTGGAAGTTTTACGCTTGCATCTCTGCATTTTTTTCAAACATCAGTGCAAACTCTTTGTTGGCCAAAACCTGCACTAGACAATTTCATAGACAGAATTTAAGACAAACAAGTAATGTTTATTTTATGTTGCCATGTTTTTAGTTAACCACTGTGTTACTGAGGATGATTAAGGTAAGATGCTAAGGTCACACGTTCATGTTCATAAATCCATGGTTCTCTGACTATGAAAGAAAAAACAGTTGGAATAAGACAATATGAATTATAAATACAAATAACCCCCTGGGTTTTCCTATTCAGTGGTGCATAATCGATACAAATTCTTTTCAAACCTGAGTATAGTGTGAAGCAAGAGCTATCTTTCTTTTCATGCTTCCTGACTACAATATCATTACGTACCGTAATTGGCTCTGTAAAAACCTATTAGGTAAGATGAGAGAGGAGGTGTGAAATACAGAACCAAACCTGCTTCCTGCTAAAAAGTGTGTTTGAGTCAAAACATTTCACCTTTATTTGAAAAAATGCATGCGACCAAAGAGGCGATGGAAACATGAGAAGCGGTCACAGTGGAAAACGGCTGGCCAAAGCCACTGCTAGGGTGAATAGAGCAAAGTTAAAGTTGGCATCTCCTTCCCCCTCAGATCAGAGCTTCCACAAATAGAGTTGTGAAGTCAATGAGAAAAGACCACATTATCCTTGTGTCTTAGTTAACCTGACCTTTTAAATGTCTTATTTCCAGAGAGGCTGGTTTAAAGATGTCACATTTTATACAGCTGAATGACATACGATGAAACTTTTCTCTTTCTATTATGTATTTCTTTTTCTTTCCTTCCTTACCTGTCTTCATTCTCTTCCCTTAGTTTCAGAAAGTAAAAATTAACTAGTCACTAAAACCTTAATTTGTCAGTTCAGGTTCTGCCTCAGCAGAGCACTGCAGCACAGAGCTCTGCAAGTGCCTTTGGTGAGACATAGACACAGACTGGAAGCCCAGTGTGTGCCGAAGGGTTTTCAGGAAAGGGAGCCGAAAGACTCAGTCCTGCAAATGGGCCCCCACACTTCCAATCGAGCCGTGTTTTTTCCTCATGTCCAAGCGGTGAGCCGCTCTATGTGGAACAACTTGCATGAGTGCAGCCTTATTGCTCTGATGGGAAAAAGTCTTTTGATATTTAATGCAAGTGCAACTCATCAGGATATAAAGGAGGTTTTTAATCATGATGGTTGGTTCCACATAATTCTCTGCAGGCCCCTGTGCATCTGTCAGCCCAGCCTAATTCTGTGCTGCAGCAGACACACCACTCCAGCAGAAGCTCCTTGAGGTGTAGCCGGCAGCTCACCCTTACATCCTTGCAGCCAGCTTGTACATCAGAGTAGAGAGGAAACGAAATGTGGCCATGGCCCCACAGAAAATGAGAAGCCCACTCACTGTCCTCTAAGGACCACAGGGACCCTCTCTGTGCTTGGGAGTCCTGCGGCCTGCGCAGGTGGCACGCTCGTGGCTGCCAACAACAAACCATGGGAGAGGCTCGAGGCGCAGTGCTGTCGGGAACACAGCAGGCAGCCAGGCAGTGCTCTGCTCAAAAAGGGATCAGGTGCATCGCTCCAGGGACGGGTTGGCTACGCTCATGTTTACTTCCTCAACTTGTCTCTGCCCCATGCAACGCACAGGAGGACTGGAGGATGAATTGAAGATGCAATACATTTAAACAAACTCATCAGAAATGACAGAAATGTTATAGGATGCTTACTTAGACAGCAGAATGTTTTCTGCCTCATTCAGGACATCAGTCAGATGAATCTCCATTCTCAGTCATGCATCTGCTGTAGCAAAGGGCACTGCCTCGCAGCATGGGCATTGCACAAGCATAGTTCAGAGCAATGTGTGATTCATTGGCTCAACCACAACAGAGTGCTCCCTCCATAGCTCCCCACTGTCACTCCATTCCCTTGCTGGTGCTCCTGGCAGTCGCTCTCTCCCATTGCTTTTCTTTGACATAGATAATTTTTTACATCAGTAATTACTCCCGTCACAATGCTCTGGCTTTTCCTAGTCTCATTTAGATCTGTCTAGAATTTCTGCAATATTAGGTGTTGCTGATGCAGGAGCTAAGAGTATCTGCAGTTGAATTTGACAGAAACACTCTCACTTATTAAACTGGAATATGAGTCCAGACCAAATTATTGCTTCAAATGCTAGGAAGGTCTGTCAAATCATTTCTTAGGCTGGATTCATGATGTTAGCAACACAAGAGCCTATGGTGTGAGTAGAGCTGGTCAATGTATTCATTGCAAATAAATTATTCAATGCATTTGCCTATTTTTTGGCTTGTGAATCATTTGTGAATCATTTCTAATTTCTAATAATGTGTTCATAAGCATTCACCCACATGGATTATAGAACAAATCTCAGCCTAAATGAACTTTGCAAACTATTCACCTTTTACTAGTAATCATCCAGTGTGAATGCAGTAGTTCATTTAAGTCACATGGCATCAGTTATGCTTCATCTTTGAATGATGTAGTCTTTTCTTAAAACAGGAGGCTAGTGATAAATACAAGAACTTTAGGGACAAGTAAACATTCAGGACATTCAGAAAATCTGTGCTATAAATATTAAACCAACCATTATACAGATATTTGAGGAAAAACCCCAAAAAGGGCTGAGCAAAGGTACCTATCACTAACTTTTTGTCTTTTTTGGCTATTCTGCCAGCCCTAGGCATAATGTCAGCTACTATGATGACAACTGTAATGTGAGGTTTTTTCTTTCTTTACTGACAGGTACCAGCAGTGCAGAAGTAAAGGAAAATCGAAACATTGGCAACCTGGAGGATCATCCAATATCCTCTAATGAGAGGGCAAGAGGGGGAACACCTAGCAGTAAGAGGAAAAGACCCTTAGAGGAAGGCAATAATGGCCATTTCTGCAAACTCCAACTCATCTGGAAGAAAGTCTCGTGGTCAGTGACGCCAAAGAATGCTCTGGTTCAGCTACATGAACTTAAACCAGGTTTACAATATAAAATGGTTTCCCAGACAGGTCCGGTGCATGCCCCAGTCTTTGCTGTTGCTGTGGAAGTAAATGGACTTACGTTTGAAGGCACAGGGCCCACAAAAAAGAAAGCCAAAATGCGTGCTGCGGAGCTAGCTCTGAAGTCGTTCGTTCAGTTCCCCAATGCCTGCCAAGCTCACTTTGCCATGGGGAACTGCATCAACCCATCCACGGACTTTACTTCTGATCAGGCAGACTTTCCAGATACTCTGTTCAAGGAGTTCGAACCGTCTACGCACAGCGAGGACTTTTCAGTCTATAACCCCGTTAATAACGAATTGCTTTCTACTGCTTATCGACACGGGCGCTTACTCTGCCATACGCTGGACTTAATGGGCCACAGTAAGCAAAACAAGCACAAGATGGCATCCAAAGCAGAGAGCGAGAAGAACCCGGTGGTGCTGCTAAATGAGCTGCGGTCAGGCCTGCGGTACGTCTGCCTGTCAGAGACAGTGGAGAAGCAGCACATCAAGAGTTTCGTGATGGCGGTGCGAGTGGACGGGAGAACATTTGAAGGCTCAGGACGTAGCAAGAAGCTGGCCAAGGGTCAAGCAGCGCAGGCAGCCCTTCAGGCCCTCTTTAACATTCGGCTGCCCAGCCACATTCCCAGCAGGAGTAAATGTCACCATTTGCCACAGGTGAGAGCTCCTGGGTAGCCATCACCACGTTGGAGGAACTCTTTCAATGAATGGGATTGGTATTGCTGTAGCTGTTGTTGTTCTACCAGACAGTTCCTCTGATGTTATAGCAAGTGCCATGCCACAAAATAGCTCTTTTCTCATAGAAAGAGCCAGATGCCACAGGCAAAAACTCGAAAATCGTATCATGAAATCATTGGGTACAATGTGCAGCCCTTTCCATAGGAGGCATAGATGAGAGGGCGAAATGTAGGGGGAAATACCAACATTTCGATTTGCTAGAGAGAATGATAACGTTGATACAGGCAGAAAAATCAGGTTATTCTGTGGTACTGCATCTTTCTTGGCAGAAAGGAGCCCATAAACAAAGGGATGCCCCATATCCTCCTTTTAGAGTTAATTTTGGACTAGGACAGTACCTTCCAGAGGAGACAGCAATGAGAAGGAATGTGCCTTTGTCAGAGCAAACTCTCCAGACAATTCTGCCACTAGAAAAGTTAAGGAATTTTTTTATTGTAGGCTTACTTTTTGGGTAGGTTTTTTTTTTAATTTGTTTTCAAATATGTCGGCAACAGCACAAAGGATGGTGAAAGCTCTGAAGTTTTCCTGGAACAAATATAGAGATTACTGCTATATTCGTACAGAAATTATATATCTGAGATACATACTTAGCACATCAAAATTTCATAGTTGGTCATATGCCAAAGGCTATCTTAGCATTACTCAGATTTCTGTCAATTTTCTAAGTTCAAAGGAATCCAGGATTCACAGACACTGGGAAGCATTACATGGGTTCAAGTAATTTCTTGATTTGTCTGCACTATCATAAAAGGTTTGATCCACCAGCACCAGGAGGTGATCTACCGCTACAAAGCTCCCTTTATAAAGGGGGCTGTTAATGTCCAGGATTTAATGTACAGCACTGGGAGCACTAAGAGTCATTCTGCTGCTGGCTCGCTGTGAGACCCTAGGCAAGTCATTTAAATCCAATACACTTGTAATAAAAATGAGCATATTATATGAAAGAACACTTCAAGATCCTGAAGTAGTGTATAAATGCGAATTATTAGTAGCAATTCTAATTAACATTAGTAAAGAAGTTCATTAGATGTTCAAAGAGTTGGATAGGGGATGAATGCTTTAGGTGGCATGATTGCCTGCAGGACCCAGGAATCATATTTGGTGACCCAGAAGTTTCTTTCCTATGTTTCAAAAAAGGTAACATGAGAAATGTAAGAAATTCTAAAATACATCATAATTCTCCACCTCTTCCTTTTAATTCTGGTTTGTAAACTCCATGAACCAGTAGGGTAATAACATTTTTTAATAAATGTTATTACCAGTAGGGTAATAACATTTTTTAAAACTTCGCAGAGTGTTTTGCAGGTGTTTTGCAAGCCTTTGCCAACCTAACAGCTCCATCCTCCCAGTGCTCCACTGAAGAACAGATGAGTTTTAAATGAGAAATCCATGCTATTTCCTGCCCTAATTAATTCTGGTATGTAGTTGGCTTTGATGAACATGCCTATCCTTCTCCATGCAAACGTAGCAATTTAATATAAAGAGGAATCTCTAGCCCTATTGGCTGCTTCGCTGCCCCCAGTGAACTTTTCTGGGTGGCTCAGCATGTAAATACCATGCATTCATCTACTAATGGCTTGTCATGTTCTGAAACTGAACCACAAGTATCATCGCCTCAGTTCTTGAGCTCTCTGAAATATTCCCTGGTTGCTTAGCTTCACGATCATCTTTTACCTGAATATCACATCTTACCTGGGTCCCAAATTGTTCACTGGGCAACATATTCTTCAGTGTATATTTCCTTTTTTATGGCCTTTTATCCTTCCTGTAGTCTTCTGCCCTCCTTATCTTCTTCTTCTCGCTGTTCTGGAAGTATAAATGTCAGTGAAAAGGTGTCACTGAACTTTTTCTGTCAGTATTTTTGAGTGGTTATGTATTGTCCAACTAAAAGATTACTTGGGCACTTTTAATGCCAGCATTCAGCACATTAATTGAGAGATAAGCCTTGACACTGATTTCTGCTGCCCTCCTTAGTAGCTGCTCTCATCAATAGACATTGCAGCTGTGACACAAAACCTGAATTTGTGTTACTCACTTAAGTCATGACCCAACTTCCACTGAAGCCAACAGACATATTTCCACTGATCTCACTTGGGCTATAGCTTAAACATTAAATCCAGAAGCATCTTTACTTGTTCTTGCTGTGTTATGCTGTATCTCATCGAGTGACTGTCTTTACTTGCTGTTTCAGTCAGCCCATCTGGCTGTTTGGTCAGTCGGAGAGAGTGTGGTTCTCACTGAGCTGTGGTCAGAGTCAGCTGCTCCAAAAGCTGTTTCAGCTCCTTCTTGTCTCCCCGATCTTCTGCGAACCACATTTTCAAGGACACATTTCAAGTGACTTTTTCAAAGCTTTTCCTACTTAGCAGGCTCCACTTGTTTTGTGTCCAAAACGGTTTAAAAGCAGAGCAGGAGAGCACCCTGAAACCCAAACATCTTAGAGATAGAATTTGAAATATTGTGGGTTTCTAATTTTTTCACAGAATAAGCAATAACTATTGCCCTATCCAACCATCCACTCTTTTCATGTGCTTCATCATATTTGTTAGGATGTCAGATAGCTAATTCATTGATAGTAGACAAATGAGATCAGCTATAACAGTTTCATCTATATTTTCAATATTTTGTAGAATCCAGGAGTATATCTCTGTTGTTGCCCTTTACAAAAAGTATTCCAGCATGTCTCTGTTCCTGTTCCCCTTGCTGTTGTTAGTGGCGTTAGGAGGCCAGAATTTGACTTTTCCTGATTGCAGCCCTCCTGGAAACAGGAAAAAATCTTGTAATACTGGAAGTCCAGTCATGTTGAACTTACGGATTTCACAGTGTTCGAGAAGATGTCAAAAAAGTTCAGACCTGCTTACAAGCTGGGCCTCCCGACCATTGACATTTCTGCCGTGCTCATCAGGGCTCCCAGGGGACCTGGCATCCCTCAGCCTGGCCCTCAGGCATGCCCTCAGACTGACAGCCACTTTTCCTGCTGACCAAGGGAGATTCTGTGCAAAATGTCAAAAGAGGCACCACATCCTCCCATCTGTCCTGATAGGTGCTGCCTACACAGAAGCCTTCCTGAACTGCCTAGAAATGCAGAGCATAGATGTAAAATATTGCCACCTTGATCACTTCTGATTCAGGCAAAACAAAGAAATGCAAGAATAGCAAAGCCAGAAATAGATGAATTTGCTGGGGCAGCTGCAGTCCAACTTGCTGCTTCAGCTGCTTCTCCTGCCCCTCACCTGCCAACACTGAAAACCCACCATGAAATTGTGAGCATATTACAATACTGGTGCTTTCTTAAAAGAACATCACTGTACTTCTGATTTTCATCCCTGTGATTGTTCCACAATGTGTTTGTGCTGACTGCAAAATTATACACAAAAAAACCCCAAAACAAAACAAAAACACATCACACTTTACACCAGGAAAAAGTTTTCATCTCATAAAATTGTGGCTTCTTTACAGCCCTCAACAGTACTTTGATCCAGTTCTGTGATTCTCATACAGGTACAATGATGGCTGGAGGACCCGAACTCTTGCCCATGTATAGGGTGAATAGGAGGTAGCTGAGATAATCGAAGGACCAGCTGAAATGGTCACAAGGTTTGCCCATCAATGTGCCAGCTACTGTTCTTCCTCAAACCAGATGTCTTATCTGTGCTATGCCACTGAAGTGCGAGAGAAATACTATTGATGGTCTGAGGCTAGGCACATGTTGACGTGAGTAGCCAAGATAGGAGCCTGGAGATCTGCTAAACTAATGGCAGAGATAAAGTGAGTCAGGAGAATGGAAATTATCACGCATCACTGTGCTCCTTCTCTAAATCACTAAATATTGCTCCTTGTTTCCTAGCATACTTGGTCTGAACTCATATTGTCCATCAAATAATACGCAATTTCTTCAATTATCAGCTTTTGTGAAAGTCTGACAATTGTTTCTCCCTGCCCTGGGAGCTAATTTTCTTGTAATCCAAAATAGGAGGCAACACCAAGGAGCACTAACCCTACCAGCCCTGCAGGGTTTCCACTGGTAGATATCCATCCACACGCTCCCGGGCTTTCCAAGTGCAGTGTGCTCAATTCAGGAGATCAAGGTGACCCTCAACTGCATCTGACCAGTTTACAGATTGTTTTTTTAATCTTGTAGTCCTTCTAATCCATCTCACTCAGTCTGAACAGCGTTCTTACTGCTGTAGAGCAAACCCATTAATTAATATTGCCATAACAAATTAGTAATAGAGGGGTGCTTGGGTTTCAAATGGACCTAAATTAAAAAAGAATAGGTGTGAAAATCGCATTCACTCTGCTTTGAAATGGCTTAACACTGCTGTTGCTGGTTCACATCCAGAGCCTCCAAAGCAGTAGTTGTCAGTTTATTTATTTAAATGAAACCTCATTTTGGTTTGTGTGCATCATGAAAAAGAAGTAGGGTTTTTTTCCCTTTGGCAAATAAGGCTAACCATTTGAATCCAGCTAAACCCCCTATTTGCCAAAAGCTTCATTTGCAGGCCAAAGCAATCTGAGTATCCCCATTGCACTGATTCTTTACCAGAGCAGGTGAAGGATTCCTGCCAGGTAATGTCAGTGTCACCTTGATGAGCGATGTCATGGGAAGAAAACCAGCATACCTCACGCCTCTCATCCACTTCCCTCCAGAAGCCTGTTTCTCTGTGTTGTAAAACTGGTTCATTGTCATGCCGCTTCCTTCACTTTATTTCTCTAACTATCCTCATTTGCCAACTTCCCTGCAACCGTGCCCTCTCACCTGTGTCGCAATTAAGCTGGGGCTGAGGTTGGCAGTGATGGATTTGACTCTGGTGCAAAGAGGGACAGCACATGGAGCTGGCATTGAGCTTTGAGAAGCTGTTCTAGCGTGTTTATGTGAAGAGCTTTTTCTGGTCAAGCGACCAGGTACATTTCTTTATGAC